TTTTTCAAGTTGATTGCAAAGCCTTTTTTCTTAGTTCATCTTAGTCTGGAAACTCAACTGGAAACCTGTTCAGCATCAGAGCAACATGATGGCTGGTGATTGAACTTGAGGAGCACTGGTTAGTAATTGAACAAAAACTTCTCTGTGGAAAGCAGAACTTATGAGCTAATGTACATTGAAATCAGAAAAAAGGAACAAATCACATTCTCCTTTCATATTTCTGTCATAGAAACAGTTCATACTTGGCCATAATCGTATGATTTGGAGGAAAAATTGTAAGTCTGTTAGAGTGATCCTGCAATCAAATAAATCACTGCATAGATATGGTGACAACATATAGAATTAAATACTTAAACAGTCCAGTGCAAGAGAAAGTATATCCTAAATATAATTTTTCAACAATACAAACAGTGACTGTTTACATGTACCTTCCAGCATGGAATACATAAGAATCAAATCAAGTATGTCTGTGGAAAGACATAGTAAAATTCAGTATCATCAATCACAATAAGGCCAGGGACCAAAGGGACACAGATTATCAATCGCTCATATACAATTCGAGCTGAGGCTGAGAAAAATGAAAACTAGTCAATAAGAGTCAAAATATAGCTTGAGTATATGGCATCTGAATTTAGAGATAATCTCAATAATACATTTGCTATGTTGTTGTTGTTAAGTGCTGTTGAGTTGTAGATGACTCATAGTGACTCTATGAACAAAAGACCTGAACACTTGTATAACTTTCTTCGTTCCTCCAAGTTCATACAGTGTTGAACACTAATGACTAATGTTGTTATTAGGTGCCATCAAGTCAACTATGATGCACAGTAACGCTGTGAGCAATAAATTTGAACCTTGTCCTATCCTATACCATCCTCCCCATCTCTGTCACACTCAAGTCCATTGTGGTCATGGTGTCAGTTCATCTCATTGAAGGTCTTTTTCTCTTTCCCTGATTCTCTACCTTTCTCAGCATGACGTCTCTCTTTAAGAACTGGTTCCTCCTGAAAATATGCCCAAAGCAAGTGAGGCAAAGTTTCACTATTCTAAGCTCTAAGGACCACTCTGGTTGTACTTCTTCCAAGACTGATTTACTTGTTCTTTTGACAGTCTGTAGTATATTCAATCCTTTTCACCAACACAATTGAAAGGCATTGGTTCTTCCTTATTCATTGTTTAGCTTTCAGATGCATAGGAAGGTGCATCAAGTAAAATGAAATCATTGAAAACTTCAGTAACTTAAAAAAACTTTCTCCATCTGTCATGATATTGCCTATTGGACCAGTGGTAAGAATTTTTGATCCCTTGATGTTGAGATATAAACTATATTGAAGGCTGGAACAGTTGTTCTTCTGCAAGCAAGTGCAAGTCTTCACCATCTGCGAGCAAGGTTTTTGACAAGTCTTCCTCCAATCTTGATGCCACATTCTTCCTCATAATGTCAAGCCCCCTAACAACGTCTTCCACATATGGATTGAAAAGGTATGGAGATAGGATGCATCCCTGAAGCACTCCTTTTTCAATTTTTAACCATGCAGCATTTCCTTGCTCTTTTCTGATGACCGCTTCTCAGTCCAGTTAGAGGTTTCGCAAGAGCACAATCAACCTGAATTTAAAAATCATCTCAGGAATGGGTTGAGGTCTTAGATACTAGAGAACTAAGACCAGATGAGCTGTGAGAGGATATTAAGGACATTATCCATGAAGAATGCAAAAGCTCATTACAGAGATAAAGGAGGAAGAGAAGATCAAGATGGGTGTTGGAAAAGACTCTGAATATTGCACTAGAGCACTGAGAAGCCAAAGCAAAGGGAAGACATTAGGAATTATAGTATATTTGAGGAAAACCACAAATGTAGTAAATCTTTGTTAGCAAACCTCCAGAACAAGGAAGAGCATCCCTGGACATTAGTGCGGGGAGTATGCATGTTTGTTAATGTTCTCTTGAGTTTACTATGACTCTTAGAGGCTCTATAAATAATAGATTCAAACTTTGGCTTATCCTGTGCCATTGTCACAATGTTCCCTTGTTCAAGCCAATTGTATCTAGCTGAGGGCTTTCCTCTCTTTTAGCTGATCCTCTACCTTTTCAGTATGAAGTCTTTTTCCTAGACTGGCCCAACCTGACAGTAATATGCCCAATGTATGCAAGATGAATTTTCACCATCCTTGCCTATAAGGAGCACCTTGGCTGCACTTCTTTCAAGAGAGATTTGTTTTTCTGAAAGTCCACATATTTTCTACTCTTTGCCAACAACACAATCCACAAGCACCAATTCTGTTTCAGGGTTATATCCTCTTACCATATCTATTCAATTTGTATATTCAGCAAATTATTTGAGAAGCTGTACTCTGTGAAGAAGAATGTGACATCAGGATCAGAGGAAGGCTCACAAATAATCTTTGATATTCAGATGACACAACCTTGCTTGCTGAAAGTGAGTCTTAAAACATTTGCTACAGGAGATCAAAGGTTGTAGCCTAATAGATGGAGAAAATATTAAAACAGTCAGCGACGTCATCTTACTTGGATCCACTACCAGTATACTTGGCACCAGCAGTCAGGAGACGGATTCCATTGGGAAAGTCTACATTGAGGGATTTTTTCCTAAATTACTGAGGAGCAATGACGTTTGAGGACTAAAGTGTACTTGATTCAGACTGTAGTGTTTCAATCAGTTGCTCTGTTGCTGAGAGCGTGATAATGACTACGGATGACAGAAGAATAATTGATGCCTTTGAACTGTGGTGTTGGAGAAGAGAGCTGAATATCCCATGGGCTGCCAAAAGATCAAACAGATGTGTCTTGGAGAAAGTGCAGCCAGAATGCTCCTTGGAGACAAAGATGTGAAGTTTTGTCTTGCGTGCTGTGGGCACATGGCGAGGTGAAGCTATTCCTTGGAGAAGAACATAATGCTCAGAAAGGTGGGAGGATGGCAAAAAGGATGACGGCCCTTAGGCTGGGGGATTGACACAGTAACTACAGCAATGGACTTGAGTATGTCAGAGATTGTGAGGTTGGCACAGGATAGGACAGGATTCAGATCTGTTTATATTGTCGCTATCAGTCTTACTCAATGGCACCTAATAACAATAGCAACAATTCCATTTCAGTCTTTCTTATTCATTATCCAACTTTCAGAGGCATAGGAAGCAAGTGGAAATCCCATGGGTTGCATAAGGCATGCTAGTCTTTAAATGGACATCCTTGCTCCTTAGAACTTTGGAGAGGTCCTTGACAGCCCGTTTATCCAATGTAACACATCTTTTGACTTCTTGACTGCTTTTACCCTGAATGTTGATTGTGGATACAAGTACAATGCAATTGTCTTTAACTTCAATCTTTTCTCCATCTATCATGTGGAGTTATACTGCCAAATCAAATGCAAGTAGTTTACATCTACCAGGTCCTTGGTGGGGGGGGGGAGGAGAACAGTCTCCTTGCCAGCAATTTACAGCCCCAGAAAACTCCCTGGAAGGTCATCTGTGAGTCAGTTTCACACTATGTACATACAACAGTATCGTGATGTTGCCTATTGGCCCACTGGTGAGAATCCATGTTTTGGATATGCATGTTTACTTACATTTGATCCATTCACCAAGCATAGATACCCGTGAATACATTGCTGTCATTGTGGGCTGTTTCGTCTGTTATCCTATCATGTTGGATTTCAATTCTGTCTCCTCTTTAAATCTGTCTGATTCTGATCAGAATTCACAGTTTTCTGTTAGTTTTTCCTGTATCTGGGGAGCTCTCTCTGTGGTCTGTAGTGGGTTGTGCTGTTAACCCAAGGACTATACCTCTCTGAAGGCTCGAATCCATCAACTGGTCTCTTTAAGAAAGATGGCTAATCTCCCTGTCATATGTAGTTGTTGTTCAGTGCTGTCTAGTTGAGTACAACTCAAAGCGACTATCCTTAAGATCTATCCATGCTGAAACCCATCGTGGTTCAATCTTCTTTTTTGAGGGTCTTCCTATACATTTCCCAGAATGATGTCTCTTTCCAAGAATTGATGGTTCTGGGCCATTTACACCCTCTTCAAAAAGAATAGCTGGAAGATAAGTTGTTTGGGGATTGGAGGGCAATGAAGTCTAGTTTTATCTATGATTTCCAGCATACATTCTTGTTCACAGATACTGTACAACTTTTCATTTCCTATCAGAGGGTTTTTTTCTTTCTTTTTTTTTTTTTTTTAGTAAAATGACTTCCTTTCTATTCTCACAAAGCTCTAAATGGTGCTTGTGCGAGGGGATGACAATTGTAAATTCAAATGAAGATGAGATCCTCTTAGAGTCTTTTTGGATTAACATTATAACAAGCAGTTTCAATGCACTGGTAGGCCAAAGACTCTTTTAAGTGTTTTTTAGATGGATGCCTGAGGAAATGATTATCCAAGTGAGGCAGGAAAGGCAAAATAGAACTTGGGGCTAAATTACTGTCCTCTAGTCGTTTTTCTGGGATTAAGGGATGAGACTGGTGAGCCCCTACCCCATCCGTGGTTTCCCAGCTTAAACTCAGAGGTGAACACGCATTCGCTGTGACTAACCCCTCACAGTCCCCGCCCCGCGCCCTGCAAACCCTTATGTAAGCGTCCGAGGCTCCGCCCCCGTAAGTCCCGCCCCCAACACCGGCCCCGCCCCACCCCTGGCTCCAGCACCGCGGACGGAGGGGCGGAGAGAAGCCGGAGCTGCAACTTGGCTGAGAGGTTTTGAGCCTGGGCGCAGCTGGGAGCTGAGCCGCCGTCGACGCAGAGCCGCTCTTTCCCCGGGTCCGGGCCTCAGCCAGTCGGCCCAGCCATGGCAGCCGCCGCCGTAGCGGCGAATCTGACCCTCGCGTTCCCCGCCTGCCGCTGAACAGGCGTTGACCAGCTCGCTCGTCCGCGTCGCCGTGGCCCAGGCTCCGCACAAGTTTCTGTCGCCGGAGAAGCAGCAGACAAGGCGGAGGAGGACGGACGTGGGGAGTGGGGCAACCCCAGTCCACACGGCCCTTTTGCCAGCGATGTGGGGGCGCTTCCTGTCCTCGGAGGCTGGCGGCCGGGACAGCCCCGGCGCAGCCCGCAGCTTTCCTGCGGGTAAGGAAGCGGGCCGTGCCCGGCGGTGGTGGGGGTCGGCTGAGACCGCGGCACCGGGAACCCCGTGCCGGTTCTCCTCCTCCTCTTCCTCTCTCCAGGCCTGGCTCCCACCCTGCCGCCTCCGCGACCCCGCCGCGAGCCCGCCTGCCCGCCGCGTTTCCTCCCCGCTTCCCTCCGGCTGCCACCCTCCGGCCAGGCGCGCTGACATCTGGCGGCCGGGGTCTCAGGCCTGCCCGCCCCGCCCTCCCCCCCCCCCCCCCCCCACCCCCCCCCCCACCGCAGCGTCCCGTCCACCGAGCCAGCCGCAGCCCAGGCGCCCCCAACTTCATGCTCGCGTGGGCCTCTCCCCAGTTAGCCTTTGTTGTCGGTCCACCTCCCTTCCTTCGTGGGGTTTGTGACCGCGTGGATAGCGGGGCTGGCTTGGGGGCCCCGGGCGGGAAGGTCGCTGCGACCATGTTGCGGCGGCGGGCGCACCTCGGAGGCGCCCACGGAGGGGGTCTGGTGAGCCACGGGCGGCCTCGGTTCCTCCTGCCGCAGGGCTGGGCCTGCGCCCGTTCCTCTTGGGGCGCGTTTTGGGGAGGGCAGATGGTGATTCCCTCCCTGTAAGGGAGGCTCCTAGGGGACTTAAGCCCCAGACGGAAACCAGGTCTCCGCCTGGCAGCCTCCGGGGTAAGGGAAGACACTTGTCCTGCAGGACCTTGGATCCACGGGGGTGGTGTTGATAAGGCGTTACCCATCTGTCCCCCTCAAGGAAAATTGGGGGTTTGCAGCATTCTGTGCTTGAGAAGGGGCTGTTTTGATCGGACAGCCATTTCATGACGGCATCGCTCAGAAGTAGTGTAGAATGCACCAGTTTGGGCTAAATCCTGTCCCATTTTGGGATTAAAATATAAAGCTTGAATTGCCTGCAATGATGACAGTCATTCAAGGCACTTGCATCTTCCTTGAGTTTTGGACCTCCAAGAAGCTCAGCCTTACCTTTCATTTAAAAAAAGGTCCTCATGTACAAAGAAGAAATTTTCCTTGCGATTTTAAGTGGTCCTGGGACCCCTATTGGGTAACCTTGTTCTATAAAGTGAGCTCGACTTGTATAATTGTGAGAGATATTTTAGTACTCATTTTTCAGAGCTAACGAAATACAAAATAAAGCAAAAACAGGATTTGGAAAAGGGGTCTTTGGCTAGTGATATTTTTTGTTTTCTCAGAAACATCAGGCACAAATCCAGATTGCTATTAGAATTCCAAGTAATTCCATTATGGGAAGTTCAGAAAATTTACATCTTTTTTAGGCATATGTAAGTTTTAAAATTCCATTGCTAGATTTGAAAGTGTTTACTTAAATTTAGCCCTGCAATGATTTTATAGATAAATAGTAGAATTTAATATAGATCTGCATTTACTTCTTTTTTTAAAAAAAAGTAGTAAGCTATGATTGCCCTCCTTTCCCCCAAAATGTATAAGAGGAGATAAACTTGGGAGATTTCCTGCTAAATCTTCACAGATCCTGTGGTAGTAAGATACTTCATTATCCCTAGGGGCTGGAAGCAGTATTATCACTATATCCATACATGTCAAAAGCCATCTGTAATGCCTTTTGTAGCTCACTCTTAACATTTTTTTTTAAATAGCTTGTTTGAAGGTATGCTAGCAACAAAGCATTGCATCCACTTCCCATTCTTTCTATAAAGAAAACATCTTGTAGTATAGTATTAAATAAATAAGACTTTAAGCTATGTTACAGCTTTTAGACATATTGTATAGAATAAAGTGGAAAAAGAGACAGATTAGAACCCAAGTTTAAAGAATTTGGATTGTATGTCTTTGCACAAGCTCCTTATTGATAGTGCTAAATCAGGACGTGTCTGCCTAGAAAATTTTTTTTTCTGAGCTGTATATTGAGAATTGAGCTATTTTTGCAGTAATAAAAATGTAATAATGTTTTCCATTCATTTCTTGAGCAAAAATAGATATTTAAAAATATTTTCAATTAGTTACTGAAAGTTAATCTTTAGTTAAAAAACTCAAGTTTGGCTTCTTTAGCCAGGGAGCAAATGGTGAATGTCAGGGTAATGACCTTTTAGGTGCTTCATGGAGGGTTTTTTTTGTTTGTTTGTTTAGATGAGAATTCGGAGAACATTTTGATTTTTGGAAATATTGTCCATATAATGTTTGACTAAATTGAGCAGTTTTAGAGCTTGTCTGAAAACAGACAAGAGAATCAGTCTTCTGATTAATTGGTGTCAGTCTTTTTGGTCTTGAGAACCGTGAATATGAAGAAATGAATAAGAGAATTAGTTCTATTAGTAAAGTGAATTTATCTTAGGAGTTAATGCTTAGTGTCTGCCTTAAACTTGATTTGTTTATACAAATATGTAGACTAAAAGGGAATCTAAAGATATTTTAAAATCAACTTTGTAATAAAAGAGAACATTCTTTTTAAGGTGATAGTGGTGAAAACCAGAAATAATACTAAGTGTGGTTAGAAAAGTCTGAATTTTTGGCCTTTTAGATTTAGTTTTGACTTTACTCAGTTTTTGTGTTATAAAGAAAACGATTGTTATTTTCCTGCAAAGATATGTTTATTTAAAGATATGTTTAGAGAGCTTATTTTCTTTATAACAATGTTTTTAATGCATTTGCTTGAGTATACTTCAGATTATTCTATTTAAAAACTGTACTGTTTTCTAAATTGGATGGAGGATGGATGCATTTCCCTTATGTTTTTGAAATTTAGTGTGATACAGTGATATTTTGACTATTAATAAATAGTTATGTTGAATTTCATTTTTTTATAGAAAGAATTTTACTGATTCAGCCTTTTAAAATATTGGTATATTAAGCTTTTAGATGTTTTGAGATAGGATATGATAGTGTCAAAGTGTACTAAAAGAAAATGTTACAGAAAATATGTGAGCTGAAGCCATGATGTTCATGGCTTCAGTTTTAAATCTACCCTTGTCATAAGTAGCTTGATGATGTCATAATTATAGTAATAATAACTGGTATAGTTAGGTCAAATAATTACGTTTTCTGCTGTTGTTCTGGATTAGTACCTGGATTACTAAGGCAACAATAATGCTTGTTAGCCTTAACTCTGTAGGACTGTAAGGCAGTAGGATATAGGAAGAGGTGGGGGCTCAGGACAGGGCAGGCTTCAGAGCTGTTGTGCATAGGGTCAAGGGGTTGCAGGTGACTCAGTAGCATATAATGTTTATGAAAAGACCTTGATTAATAATTTGAATTAAAAAGCTTCTTGGTTTGAATGAAGCTGGTAAATAAATCTGAGACTAGGTGAGTTCATAACCTCTATTCTCATGTTGTGAATATTAATAGATGTTGAGAAAAGATTTACAGAGCTGTGATTTAAATGTGTTTAAATGTGTGTATGTATACTTTGAGAAATTAAAAGACTTGAAAGTGATGGCTTTTCATTTTGTACATTGGAAAAGAGTATGATAATTCAGATACTTCTAAAACTGCTCCAAAATATTAGTTAATACTGCTACCTTAAGATATTACATACATGTGATTTGGTGCCTTCCAGTCGATTGTGAATTGTAGTGACCATATGCACCACACATGTAAACTTTGCTTGGTCCTGTGCCATCCTTACAAGCTCTCCTGTGCTTAGGCCCATTGTTTCAGGCACTATCAATCTGTGTAATTAAAAATCCTTATCTCCTCTGGTCCCTTACCTTTCCAGACATGTACTTTTCCAAGGACTGGTTCTTCCTAACAGCTTGCTCAAAATATGTGATATGAAGATTCACTTTCCTTACCCTAAATACACTTCTAAGACATGTTTTGTTTGATTTTTTTGCAGTCCAGGATATATTCAGTACTTTTGGCCAACACAACGATTCAAAGACATCATTTTCAATTGTCTTCTTATTCATTGTCCAACTTGCACAAGCATATGAATCAGCTGAAAATGCCATGATCCTGGTCTGGTGCATTGAGGGTAGCACGTTAAAGGGGCCCTTGGCAGCAGAAACTCCCAGTGTATTATTTCTTGATTTCTTGGCTGCTACTTCCATGCAGGTTGATTATGAATCCAAGTAAAATGAAATCATCGACAAATTCAGTTTTTTTCTCCACTTATCATGATGTTGCCTGTTGGTTCATTTGAGAGGGTTTTTGTTTTCTTGATGTTGAGGTTAATCCATAATTTTTTATTCATTAAATACTTCAGGAAACAAGATGGGTCACTTGTATAAATGCAACTTGTTGATGAATCTTATCTCAGCCTTGGTGCTACATTCTTCTTAATATAATACAGTTTCTAGGATTATTTGCTCAGCATACAGATTGAATAGGTGTGGTTAAGCCCCGATGGGCATCTTTCCTGATTTTAAACCGTATAGTAACTATTTTGTTAGAACTATTGCTGCTTGGTCTACGTATAGGTAGGTTTCCCTTGAGGGCAATAAGTGTTCTGAAATTTCCCTTCCTCTCATTTTTGGCCATAATTTACTGTTGTTTACACAGTTGAATGCCTTTACATGGTCAGTAAAACACAAGTAAACATCTTTCTGGTATTTGCTTTTAGCCAAGCTCCATCTGAAATCAGCAGTGATGTGCCTCTTTTGAATTCAGCTTGACTTTTTTGCAGTTCTCTGCATGTACTACTCTATGGCATAGCAGTTTTACAGTTATCTTCAGTAAGATTGCACTTGTTCTTTATATTAGTGATAGTCTCTGCATTCTGTTGGGTGACTTTTTTTTTTTTTAAATAGAATAGGCACAAATAGAGTTTTTTAGTTGCAACTCTTACAGTTGTTTGGCGAGGTAACTGTCTTCCAGATTTTTCTTGGCATAGATGAGTAAACACATTCAGGGCTACATGTGTTTGCTGAAGCATCTCAACTGATCCATCACTTCCTGGACCCTTATTTTTTGACAGCTCCTTCAGTGTAGCATGAACTTATTTTATTGCCATTGGTTCTTGATCATACACTATTTCCTGAAATGGTTGTGTCCACCATTTCTTTTGGTGCAGT